GTCGTATGTTGAGGCGGCAAGATTCGGGTTAAGGCCAAGAATATTCGGTGTATTTATGGTAACCAATTTATTTATTAAAGTCATTAAAACTATATGTAATTTTATTAATATTTACAATTTTTTAAAATTTAATAATAATAAAAAAATACAAATTAATCCTGATTCTAAAAATTAATTAGAATCTCAATTTTAAATTTTATCATTTTATTCAATTAAAACTTAATTCAAAATTTTAAAAAATTATTTTATTAAACATTAATATATTAAAAATATATAATTAATTTCTAAATATAAATATAAATATTTAATAAAATAAAATTTTAATTTTTAAATGTAAATTAAAATTTTAATTATTTTTTAGAGGTGAAATTAGTACACAATAACCTCTAATAATAATATTTAAAAATATTAATTTATAAATTGATTTAATTTATTAAATAACAATGACAATGATATAGTTATAATATTATGTAAGATTGTAAAATTATAATTGTGATATGATGTTAAATGAGTATGACTTGTTATTAAATAGTAGATGCATATAATATTATAGATGAATTTTTGAATAAAAAGAACTAATAATATAATAAATTTATAATATTAAGTGATATTATAATTATAACATTTTTGAAATAATAAATATTCCCTTTATTTCAAAACAACCATTATTATTTAATTTTAATTTTATGCCAAATTAATTGTTATTTTTTTATTTTCATGCTATTATTATCTATTTATTTTAATTAGTTATTTTATTATAAAAAAATCTTACTTTATTTTTTAACATTTTTCTAAGATCTAAAGGTAACATAAATAAATACATAAATTATTTTAAATCTTTAATTTAGAAAAAAAATAAAAAAAATAACAGTTATTTTAAAATTAAAGGAGTATCAATTATTCTATAAATAATGATAAATGGAATAAAAATTTAAAACTAAAATTTGAGATAATTAATGTGGCTTATGCTATATCAATTAAAATATTAAAAGATGGATTTTATTTTATTTAATAATTTTCACTTTTTTTAGATCTATAATATTATATATATCAATTAATTGTAATTCTAAATTTTAGTTTCAAATTTTGATCTTCCTTATTATTCTTATTTTATTAGTAAATATTCTTAATAATTATTATTTTCTCTCAAAATAATAAT